TAAAAAAATTTTTAAAAGCCAGGCATGGTGATGCACACCTGTGGTCCCAACTACTAAGGAGGCTGAGGTAGGAGGATCACGAGCCCAGGAGGTCAAGCCTGCTCCACTGCACTCCAGCCTGAGTGACAGAGCAAGACCATGCCTCAAAGAAAGAACAAGGCTGGTCGTTGTGGCTCACGCCTGTAATCCCAGCACTTTGGGAGGCCGAGGCAAGTGGATCACCCAAGGTAAGTAGGTTGAAACCAGCCTGGCCAACATGGTGAAACCCGTCTCTACTAAAAATACAAAAATTAGCTGGGCTTCATGGCAGGTGCCTGTAATCCCAGCTACTTGGGAGGCTGAGGCAGGAGAATCGCTTAAACTTGGCAAGTGGAGGTTGCAGTGAGTCAAGATCACGCCACTGTACTCCAGCCTGGGCGCCAGAGCGAGACTCTATCTCAAAAAAAAAAAAAAAAAAAAAAAAAAACAGCCAGGCACGGTGGCTCACGCCTGTAATCCCAGAACTTTGGGAGGCCAAGGCCGGTGGATCACCCAAGGTCAGGAGTTTGAGACCAGACTGGCCAATATGGCAAAACTCCATCTCTACTAAAAATACAAAAATTAGCTGGGTGTGGTGGCAGGTGTCTGTAATCCCAGCTACTCAAGTGGCTGGGGTGAAATAATCACTTGAACCCAGGAGACGGAGGTTGCAGTGAGCCAAGATTGCACCATTGCACTACAGCCTGGGCAACAAGCGTGAAACTCCATCTCAAATAAATAAATACGAACAAAAACAAAAGTTCCAATTTAAAAAAAAAAGGTTATTGGGCTGAGCAAAGTGATGCACGCTTGTAATCCCAACATGTTGGGAGGCCAAGTCAGGAGGATCACTTAAGCCCAGAAGTTCAAGACCAGCCTTGGCAACACGGGAAAACCGTATCTCTATTAAAAAAGAAAAATTGATTTTTAGGAAACGATTATTTTTTGAGCTGGGAGATAGCACTGCGTGTTAGTTGGCTGATGGGAATGATCCAGTCAAAATAGTCACTCCTCCTTTTATCATGGTTGATCCCCGCTGTCCTATTTGGGTGACTCACTCGGCATACAGAGAGGACCACATTAGTGCAAAGAGCATGAACTTTACTCACACACTGAGCTGGGTGACACCCCCACTTCCACCACGTGGAGCTGTGTGACCTCCAGCAAGTTAGGGAACCTGCGTGTGTTTCCTCACCAGCGGAATGGAATCACAGTCCTTCCCAGGATGGTTGAGCAAGGGAATGCTCACAAAGCAACCAGCACGAAACGCTTAGCCCATGGTAGACATCAACATTACAGGAGACTACATCAGCCTGATTCTGGTTTTCCAGAAGTTTCCACATCAAGGCAGATGACCTTTACAGTTTCAGCTTATGCTAACCAGATACAGGCAGCAGCCTCTTAACTGAGCTCACAAAAGGCCAGATGTTTTCAAGGCAGCAGGCCCAAGAGAAGTATATATAATTAGAGTGGGGCGAGTCCTCCTGGAAGCATGGGGCGATGGAAGCCTGGCTGAGATGCAACTGTGATGTAGGTCTGTGTTTGGTAAGGCACGTGCAAGGGCGGGAAGAAAGGAGAGAGCCCATGGGAGGGTTGGAGGGGACGAGAAGCAACTCCTCAAACTCGGTGAAGATTCAGATATGGAAGACGCCACTAGTCTCTGGTGCCCCAGGCATCTAACAGAGCTCTCAGGAGGGGCATCAAGAGACAGATCCTGTACTCAGTGTCGTTAGCACAGGAGATAAGACAAATGGGACGGCCACATGTGTCACAGAGGCGCTAGGCCCGGGCGAGAGAGTGGAACACAAAAATGTGTCTGCTAACACAGTCTCAAGGTGCTCAGGGACCTCAGGAAGGAGGTAAATGATGTGCTAAGTGCAGCGAATGAAAAGATGCCAAGAGTATGATGGGATTGCAGATCAGGATGCTTAGCCGTGCCTGGGCAGGCAGAATCGTTGGGGGTGGCCACACAGCTGGCTGTATTGCTTTCTAGCTGTGTGCCCTGAGGCAAGTAGTCTCCATTCCAAGCTTATAGTTCCGGGAATCTCAGACTCTGAGTTGGCAGGGTGATAAGAACTCCAAAATTTCAAATGATGATTGCAGAGAAGGTGCTAGATTGCTAAAGACTGAATCAGACCCTCCTAACTGGCAGTGAGAGAAGGCGGTGGAAAGGTCTCCGATTTTTCACAGGGAAGGAGGCAAAAACATTGAATCCTCATACCAATCAGTCAGTGATCACCACATACCTAGCGAGGCCGGCTCTCAGGCACTGTTGCAGAGGAAGTGGCAGTGGGTCTTTAGCCACAGGCAGTCTGCCCACTCCCAGGGTGCGAAGGCTGGAGGGGCAGACGGTGCGGGGAGTCTTTTTGGAACAGAGCTTTAATTAGCCACAGTTCTGCAGGCGTTTTACGATTTCAAACGGCATTTCTCACCTATCATCTGATCCTTGTAAACTCCCTCATGCATCAGACAGGGCAAGTGTTATTATCCCTACTTTTCAGTGGAGAAACCAGGTCCAGGGAAGCTCAGGACTTGGCTGTCACATAGCTTTTCAGTGGCAGGGGTAAAGCTAGCACTGTAGGCTTCTCGTAGCCTGAGTGAAAGCACAGTGTGGTGTGCCACCCCAGGGCAGTTTCAGTGAGCTCTTAATGGAGGCTGGGCTGGGTCCCTGAGCCTTCCTGTTCTCCCTGCATGCCTGGGAGTCACTGGACTGCAAGGGGGGCACCAGGAGTGGTAGGTGCCCTAGGTGGAGAAGCTGTGCCAGGTTACGGAGTGCCACTCCAGAAGCAGAATCTGAATTCCAAAAGGCTTTGGAACAAGAATGAGGGAAGGCCATCAGGGTAGGAGAGACTCAAAGCCTCAAATAACAAAGAGAAGGGATAAACAGAAGCGCTTCAGAGGAAGAGGAGAGCCCTGTTCTGGATCACGAAGAGGCTCTGGGAACGCCCAGGATGGAGGAGCATGCAGGCCTCCTGCTGGCTCTGGGGCCCTGTGGACCGTGGCTCCCTTTCCCTCTTTGGCTCTCAAATTGTCAATGGAGGGGGCCGCAGCCCGTGGTCTCTGAGGCGTGTTTCTGACTGGCCTCTGGGCTCCTGACCCAGGTCCCCCTGAAACCAGAATGACCCCTGGATCTTCCCTACAGAGAGCACTCCCGCAGATGGCAGGGAAAAGGCGCCAAGGCCCAGCGTGGGGAGAAGGAGGGCTTTGCCTTTGGAGAAGCATATGAGGAACAGCTACCCAGCACCAGGCCCCTGCCCTCCCCAGACATCGCTTACCTTAACAGACCACCACAACTCCATGCAGCAAACCTCCCATTTAGAGTGAGGACCCTGAGGCACCACAGTCATTCAGGTCACCCCTGGGGAGTATCTTGTCACTGCCCGCGGCCCCCTTCAATCTGGACCCGGTGCCTCCCTCAAAAAGGGAGGAGTGTGGGAGAGAGACCGTGAGGGCAAGCACCACACAGTTTCAAGCGGAAAACTCTTCCTGCTGCTTCCTGGCTGGGGGTCTATCACCTCCCTCCGCCGTGGTCTCCTTACTGTTAGGAGGCCTGCTGCCTGCAACGGTGGCCCGCATGCTTAAATTAATGCACTGGTCGCAGGGTGCCCATTGCGGCCCCAGCAGGATGGAGGAGGCTCCCCTCGATCCTACTGTCTTGTCATTGTGGCAGAGGAATTTGAGCTCAGGACTTACTTCTTTGCCACTGTCCTAGACCCCATTTGCTCTTTCGGACCCGCAGGTCATGCAGGAAGCAGGTCTGAGAGCATGTGGCTCTGACCCTCCCAGCACAGAGAGCCTCAGAGGGTCGCAGTGTGGGCCACCACAGGCCAAGCAGTGCCCACCCTTGACCCTCAGACGGCAGACCACTCCCCCAGCTCTGGCCAGAGTTGCAGGCCATACCAGAGGCCTACGCCCTGGGCGGGCACCCTGGGCGGGCACACAGGGCTGCCATTGTCTGCTCAGCGCCTGGCACCCTCTCGTTTGCATAGCCACGTGAAGAATGCGAGGGAGCAGGCTGGGGACTTGTCCCTTCAGAGGGGGGTTGGGCTGTAGGGGAGGAAGCCAGCAGGGGTCTGCAGCAGGACCCTGCCTTCCCGCAATGTAGTCCAGGAAAGGTGGGTGGGCTACTGGGGACAGAGGGGGCGGCCGGGGGCTGGCAGGAGTGGGAGCAGGGTTGTGACATTCCTCCTGCACCCACGCAGCAGTGGGGCCCAATTGAACGTGAGGGGATTGCTAATGAGGTGGAAGAGAGTTAAACATTCCCCTACTCCTGAGGACCGAGAGACTGGGAGAGAGAAGAGGGAGGTGGGGGTGCTCGGAGGGGGCAGCCTGAACCCCAGGAATGTGCAGAGGCCACTGCTCTGCACCAGGCTGCTCCAGAGCTGGGGGCCAGGGCCCAGTGTTCCAGTCCCAGCGGGAGCTACTAAGCCAGGCAGCAAGGGGATTAAGGGGCTGAGCAATCCGCCTTCCTTCAGGCTGATGCCAGAAGGTCGGGGCTGTCTCCCCAGCTCCCCAGCAGGCCCCTTGCTGGCCGGCAGCCAGCGCTGGCCCAGCCTTGATAGGGCCCCTTTTCTGTCCCCCTCAGATCTCAAAAAGACCCCACAGTACTTATTTCCTGGTCTGGCCCCTGATTTTTGGCACACACAGCTCCCAGGTACCCATGACCCCTCTTCCCAACACCCCACCCCTAGCTCAGCCTCCCCACATCTAGCTTCAGAGCCCCTGCCAAAAAGTTATCTGTGACGTCTAACTCTAGTTTTACCTGCTGCAAACTGGCATCCCTTTCCCTTCTGTCCTAAAGTCAAAGGGCAGAAAACCCCAAGAGTTACATCAGCCTTGCAAGAGCGAAGCCCATCCTCCCAGGGCTGGTGTTTGGGTGAGCGATTATCCGAATTTTAGGGCACCCAAATCAGGTTCCTAAAGGGGTTTCCCTGGGGGGAAAGGCCCTGAGGGCAGCTGGGTCATTCCTCTCAGCCCCTCCCTTCCCTATCCCTGGGGAACGGGGCGGGGCAGGGACACCACCTGGGCCATGGGCCGGCCCTCCGCCCCCAGGGGGCTGGGCATGAGCTTTGCTGGGGACCCTGCTCTGGCTTAGGCGGCTGCTGTGGGCGGGCCCTGGCCTTTTCCAGCCCCTGGGCCTCCCCCTGCATTCTGGAGTCCAGAGCCACTGCCTTTGCTCCAGCCGCTGCCGCCCCACCACCTCTCCTTCTCTGCCTCTGACCCTCCTTCTCACTGCTCCCCCTGCCCAATTGCTCCTCCCACCTGGCCATGACCACAGCCCCTGCTGGGACCCTGGCCCAGCTCTGAGTCCCGGGACCCTCGGTCCCCTCCCTCAGGCCATGGCCAACTCAGGCCTCCAGCTCCTGGGCTACTTCTTGGCCCTGGGTGGCTGGGTGGGCATCATTGCTAGCACAGCCCTGCCGCAGTGGAAGCAGTCTTCCTACGCAGGCGACGCCATCATCACCGCCGTGGGCCTCTATGAAGGGCTCTGGATGTCCTGCGCCTCCCAGAGCACCGGGCAAGTGCAGTGCAAGCTCTACGACTCGCTGCTCGCCCTGGACGGTAGGCCTGAGGCCGGCGGGGTGGGAGGTGGGAGGTGGGAGGTGGGAACAGCAGAGGGGTCTGGAGCAAGCTTTCCTCACAGTCTGCTGTCTGCACTGGGCTCCATCCTCCAGCCCCCACTCTACAATTCCCCACTACTGCCCTGTGCCCATCGACAGTCCAGGCCAGCCTGCTGCCCTGCAGGAGGGGAGGGCTCTAGGGTCTGGCAGCTGTGGGTCCAGATTCCTCCTCTGTCACTGTAACTTTGAACCAGTCACCAAACCTCTTCCCATTGTGATGTTCTCGTCTCCAAAGGGGAATACTAATACCTGTGGCACTCTGAAATGCTCAGTTAAGACCCTTCACCCACTTCTCCCCACACTCAGCAGACAGACACACACTGTACAATGCACACCTGCTCCCCAGTCCTGCTCCCAGGCCTGTGTGCCAGCATATGGGTGCACACACACGCATGCGAACACACATGCACACGCAGGCACACAAACACACACGCACGTGCACATGCATGCACCGACAGGTGCGTCTGCATGCAGTCCCTCTCCTTCTGGGGTGTGGAGTTGAGCCTGACAGGCACCGCCGAAGCTCTAACTCTGGGGTGGAGGTGATCCACCTGCAATCTGCCCAGGACCCCCCAGGGCAATCTGCTCCCCATGGGAGCTGGGAGCAGAGCGGCCATCAACCAGCCCCATTGTGCCAGTTCAGGCTGGTCAGTTCAGGCAGGTCATCTAGCCTCGCTGAGGGACCCAGGTCTCCTGAACGCCCCCCAGGGCCCAGGCCGGACCCACGCACCCATGAAGAGGCAAGCTTCTAGCTGCCATGGGCAGAGGGGAAAGTGACTGTTGTCTGAATGGCTGCTGGGGAGGGGTTGCTGCGGGGCTCAGGCTGAGTTGAGCTGGGCCTCAGATGCCCCCAGCTCTTCCATCTACCAAAGCTGAGGGGACCCTGGAGCTGCCCTCAGCTGCTTGGGAGGATGGGTCAAGCCCAAGAGGGAGTCCCCAGGCCAGAAAGCAACAGCAGAGTGAATCATACCACCAGAAAAGCCTGCAAGGGCGAGCGGACTCTCACCCCCACACCCGTCCTCCTGACGCAGGCTGTCACTCCTCACTAACCCACACCTGCCAGCAGTTGGTCTGATCCCCAGGCCAGCTCCTACTCAAGCCTCTGTCAAGCTGGGCTCCTTCCACCAACCCCAGGTGCCGACCCAACCCCCATCCCCGCCAGCCCGACTCAATGTCACCCTGCCCACCTTAGGTCACATCCAATCAGCGCGGGCCCTGATGGTGGTGGCCGTGCTCCTGGGCTTCGTGGCCATGGTCCTCAGCGTAGTTGGCATGAAGTGCACACGGGTGGGAGACAGCAACCCCATTGCCAAGGGCCGTGTCGCCATCGCCGGGGGAGCCCTCTTCATCCTGGCAGGTGAGTGCCCCTCACTCCTCCACAATCACAGCCATGGCAGGCAGCCCCAGCCCCAGTGGCCTCGGGGGACCAGAGCAGAGCTGAGCGCCCCTCTGCTTTGTCCTTAGGCCTCTGCACTTTGACTGCCGTCTCGTGGTATGCCACCCTGGTGACCCAGGAGTTCTTCAACCCAAGCACACCTGTCAATGCCAGGTGGGTGCCAGGGCTTGGGTCTTTTGCTTCACCTCCTCTGGGACCACTGACCTTTGTCCACTGGATCACCTGGCGGGGGAAGTGGGGGACAGGGTCCAGCTGCTGTCCCAGAAGCTTTAAATGGGGGCGCCAGGAGTAGTGTGCTGAGGCCTCCATAGGGGCGGGAAGCCTTTGATGGGCCCCCAGGTACAGCAAGGACTCTCTAAGGACCTAAGTGCCCTGACTCTGGGTTTCAATCCCACCTCTGGCCAGGTGCAGTGGCTCACGCCTGTAATCCCAGCACTTTGGGAGGCCAAGGTGGGTGGATCACCTGAGGTCAGGAGTTCAAGACCAGCCTGGCCAACATGGTGAAACCCCATCTCTACTAAAAATACAAAAATTATCTGGGCGTGGTGGCGGGCGCCTGTAATCTCAGCTACTTGGGAGGCAGAGGAGGCAGGAGAATAGCTTGAACCCGGGAGGCGAAAGTTGCAGTGAGCCGATATCATGCCACTGCACTCCAGTCTGAGTGACAGAGTGAGATGCTGTCTCAAAAAAATCAAACGATCAATCAATCAATCAATCCCAGCTTTGCATGCACTGTGTCACCTGGGCAAGTTACTTAATCTTTCTGTGCCTAGTTTCCTCCTCTGTAAAATAGGGCTAGAAACTGAGCACCAGTTCACGCATGGTTGTCCGTATCCAGCAAGACGCAGGTGAGGGTGTGGCATTTCTGCTGGTGGCAGCAGGGCTGAGATGACTTCCTGGAGGAGGCAGCAGTTATTCTGAGCCAGGAAGAAACTTGAGAATAAGGGCAGATCGTGGAGGGCCTTGCAACCATAGGAAGATTTTGTTCCTCATCCGAGTGGAGGCAGCGGCAGTCCCTCTGGCTGTGATGTGCAGAATGGTGGGGAGGGAGTGACACCAGGAAGGCGGCTGTCCCAAAGGTCTGAGCCGAGGGTTTGGGGCACCAGGGAGGGAGCAGTAGAGAGCAGGCTGATATTCAGGAGATAACCAGGACTTGTAAGGCTGTGGGCATGGGAACAGAAGGGGATGCTCTGCAAAGAGGACCTTGGCTCCTCCCTCACTTCTCAACCTAGCCAGGAGCAGAGAATGGGACAGTCTCAAACCTAGACATCCCAGTGGGCTTTGGGCCTTGGAGTGGAGAGAGGATGAGAAAAGATGCCTGGGCTGTTGCAATCGGGAGGGATCCCTGGAGGAGGCAGAGATGTGGAGAGGGGAGGGAGGAGATCTCAGGTACAAGGTTTGTTCCCTGGGCGGCAGCTGCAGCCACAAAATCTGCCAAGCAAGGTCCAGCTTAGGCATGTCAGGATAGGACTCGGCCCCTGATCCCTTCAACAGTCCCCAATGCCACTTGGGCTGCCAGGCCCTGTGCTGGGTCCTGGGGACACTAATGGCTCTGTCTGCCCTCAAGGGGCTTCCCAGGGGGCCGGACAAGCAAGGGGCTGAGGCCTCCTGAAGAAAGCGTGGCAGTGGAGTCACGCAAGGGGCAGTGTGAACACAGAGGATGTCAAGGAAAGACCCCACGAGGAGGAGGCATCTGAACTGGGCTCTGAAGGCAGAGAAGGAACTGGGGAGGCACAGGAGTGGCGGGCTGGGGGGCTTGATGCCCCAGGAGGGGGTGCCTTGTGCAAAGGCACTAAGGCAGTGAGACCCAGGATCGGGGCTGGACTGGCCAGCAGGGCCTGGGTGTGGAGAGCCCAGAGTGCCTTCTCCAGAGGGCAGCGGGAGCAGTCCTGGCTGGGAGTTCTGTGGGCCCGACTGTGACTGGGAAGAAAGATAGCAGGGATTGCCCCACTCCTCCCGCGCAGACCTCTCAGGCCCTCCCATGCCCCCTCCACTGGCCAGATCAGGAAATGAGCCCAAGGTTGCCCAGAGCAGGAGCTGGAGGCCAAGCCTCTGGCCTTCACGCCCACCCTGGCCGGGTCACCCTGTGTGATGTGGATCTTCTGGGCTGGCGGGAGGCAGAAAGGAAGAGCATTCACCTCAGTTTATCTGGACACATGGAAGAGGTCGTGCGGCTCCAGCCTCCAGCTCCACACACTCTGCCCTTCCTCTGCCAGGGCAGGGACTGGGAACAACCTGAGGCAGCAGCCGCACCTGATGTCATTCTCCCTACCCCTTGCAGGTATGAATTTGGCCCAGCCCTGTTTGTGGGCTGGGCCTCAGCTGGCCTGGCCGTGCTGGGGGGCTCCTTCCTCTGCTGCACGTGCCCGGAGCCAGAGAGACCCAACAGCAGCCCGCAGCCCTATCGGCCTGGACCCTCTGCTGCTGCCCGAGAGTACGTCTGAGCTCCTCCTGCCCTGGCCAGCCCCCCGCCCGGTGGCCCCCTCGTCCAGCATCCAGCCAGCCTCGCAGCACCCTGGGCAGGGCCACTGGGCCATAGGATGGGCATAGGTGCTCTGAGTAGCTTGTCCTCAACGCAAGCACCCACCTTGCAATCCGAGACCCAGATCCTCAGAGAGACCAGAGGCAGGACCCAGCCCCCAGGCACACACACGGATGCAGGTCCAGGCACGGTCCTGTCTGCACAGCCTGGTGGGCACCAGCATGCATCCCTGGAGACAGGCCCTCAGGCACCAGCCCGGCTGTTTACTCACTGAAGAGCCGCGTGGGTGTCTGCTACGTGCTGGGCCCTGGAGTTACAGCAGTGGCCAAGAAGTACCTTAGTACCCAGGTCCTTGGGGTGAGCAGAAACCTTCACCCTCCCCAGTCCCATGGGCTCCTCACAGCAACCCCACAAGGGCAGTGCCGGGATGCTGAACGTTCACACGAGGACAGGGAGGGTCTGAGTTTAGGTCTCAGGTTCTTCCAGTGCACCCAGGGCTGGGGGCTACCCACACAGATGGCTAGGTCAGACCATGGCGCCCCCGCCCCCGGGAATGGGCCCCAGGCAGGGCTGCTGTGAGGGCCAAGGTCTTGCCATGCTGGCCAGTACCCATGTCCGGGCCTGAATGCACAGCCCCTGTCCCCGACCCCACAGCTCACTCCACTAACCAGCTCTCTCTCTTTTGACTTTCAGACCAGTTGTTAAATTGCCCGCCTCCGCCAAGGGCCCCCTGGGTGTGTAATGTCCAGTCCCCAGCCAGGCTCTGTCCCCTGCCATACCTAGACTCTGTTTTTCATATTTTTTGGAAAGAGAAGTGAACATCCAGCCCCAATCATGGTGTCATTCAGTCTGTCCTCGGCGTGGCTTGGACGGGACCTGGGTCAGAGTTGTCAGTGCTGACCCCTGGGGCTCTTGGGCAGAAAGATGAGGAGACAGAGGTCCAGGGTGGGTTACACAGCACATCCAAGGCTGAGCAGGAGACAGTTCAGGGCTCCTACCCCCTGTCTAGGGAACCCCCTCCCAAGCCTGGCCTTGGCCTTGGCTCAAGGTCCTCCTTGATGGGAGACCCCACCCACTCCTGGAGGCTGCCCCTGAGGCCTGGCCCAGCTCTGGGAGCAGGCCCCTGGGTCACGGAGCCCCTGGTGTGGAAAGAGGCCCCAAGGTAGTAAACCCTGCCCCTGTTACTGTGCTCCAGAGACCTCCTAAGGGAAGGGACAGTTCCTGGAAGGCCCTCCAGCTGGATGCTGGGGATCAGAGATAGATGAGGGAACACAGTGTAGGAGCTCCCTATGTAGAAAAGGGAATGTGGGGAGGGCGTTAGGAGCTTGCGGGCATCAGGACTGTCCTGAGCAAGGTCTGCAGCCCCCAGCTCTGCTCACCCCGAATCCTGCCCCTTGTTTCCACACCTACCATTCCTCCTCTCCTGATCCCCAGCATCCAGCTGAGGTCCAAGGTCTTTTCCTAGAACCAGAGTGGGAAGGGGACAGCCTGAGGCTGCCTAGAGACTGTGGCTGGAACTGCTTGCTGCACCTAGCAGTACTGTCAGAGTTAGAAGGGCTTTTGGTCTTGAAGTCCAGGAACCATCCCCGCTTAGTATAGAGGGGGAAGGGCCGGAGAGGAATGTAGGGAAACCAGCCCAGGTCAGTCCCAAGGCCAGAGTCCTTTGTCCTACATCTCCCCGAACCAAAGTGTGCCAGCCCCGCCCCTCATGCTCAGACCTCTCCCACTCCAAACCCTCTCCGGTGTATCCAAGTCTCTTTGGCCACTGCATAGCAGGCTTCTGGGGAGAGCATCCCTCACAGAACCTCCCCTTCCCTGCTATGCACCTTCCTTGGCCAGCCCCATTCTGGCCTCCTCCACCACCTGCCTTGTGACCACATCTCCCACCAAGTCCCCAGATCTCAAGAATGCCGCTCGGCTTCTCCTTCGAGCTTGACTCTGAGAGGGAAAGTGATGGAAACCAAGTCGGATGAGATGACTGCCATGTACACTGCAGTCGAGGGCAGGGGCAGGAGGAATGACACAAATGGCAGGGAGCTGCTGGGGGACTGACCCCTCAGCGCCTGGCCTGGCCGGCCCTGCACATCCACCGGGGCACCAGAGGAGCTTGTCCAGTCTCTGGTCAGAGGGTGTGGCCACCCGACCCTAAATAGGCTCCCCAGAGTCCTGCCCCCCTAATCATGAATGATAACTGCAAGAGTTTTCCTCTGGGTGCCTGAAGCTACAGTGCAATGGTTCCCAACCCTGCGTGCACATTCGAGTCACCTGGGGGCGACGCCCAGGCTCCAACCGCAGACACTCTGATTTCATTGGTCTAGGTGGACCTGCCATCAGAGGTCAGGTAGCTCCTCAGGGGACTGTAGTGTGTGGTCAGCACTGAGGGCTCCTCTATGAGGCCTCAAGCCCAGGTCTCTGTGAGGCCCGCAGACGGAGAAAAGAACCCACAAGAAAAGAGGTGGAGTCCAGGCGTGGTGGCTCATGCTAGTAATCCCAGCACTTTGGGAGGCCAAGGTGGGTAGATACCTGAGGTCAGGAGTTCGAGACCAGCCTGGCCGACATGGTGAAACCCTGTCTCTACTAAAAATACAAAAATTAGCTAGCTGTGGTGGTGGGCACCTGTAATCTCAGCTACTTGGGAGGCTAAGGCAGGAAAATCGCTTGAACTCGGGAGGTGGAGGTTGCAGTGAGCCGAGATCACGCCACTGCACTCCAGGCTGGGCGACAGAGCGAGACTCCATCTCAAAAGAAAAAAAAAAAGAAGAAGAAGAAGAAGAAAAAAAAGAGATGGGTAGAGGAAGCCCCAGCTCACTCCTGCCTTTCCCGATACCAGGCTGTTCTGTGACATGCCCACATCTTTCCAGTCAATTCCCCTTTCGGCTGAAAAAACATTGAGTTTGAGTCCTGTCCCACACAGCCAGAAGAGCCCTGCCTAACAGGATTTGGAACCTGGAAACTCAGCACAGCCTTGCAGAGTCCTGTTGTATGGTGCCAGCGGAGCAGGGATGGGATCATCCTCCTATTCTAGGCTGGGTGTTGGGCAATCCTTGCTATTTGGTCATGAAGCAGCTGGCCAGGAAACCACACGTCATTCTCTCTTGAGCTTCAGGGTCCAATGGAGAATGCTGGGATAGAGTGTGCTGGCTCCTTCTTGTGGGTTTCAGGGACAGACTGCAAGAGAGACAAGATACGTGCAAGTGGCGGGGGGCGGTGGGGGCGCTGGAGGGGGTGCCTGACGGCAGAGTAGGAACAAGCTTCAGTCTGTTCCTTTGTTAGGGGAAGCCCTTGCTGCCTATAGCCAGGGATTGGAGAGGCAGAGGGTCAGAGAACCACACACCTCGCTGAATTGAACAACCAATTAATACACTGATTTAAAATGTTGTGAGATCCTGGCAATGGGAAGATATCTGGGAAAAAACTAGAGGAATTTGAAGCTAAAAGACTTTGAGATGCCTGGTCCCACAGGCTTCTCCTGAAGCAAACCCACTCCCATATCTACAAGGCCACCTGAGCTGCCAACCAGAGGCAGGGCCGATAATCCAGGCTTCATGTCCAGGCTGTTGTTTACTGTCCTAACCTTAAGGCTACAGGACTGGGGAGAGACCCAGGAAGGTAGGGCTCAGACTCAAAAGGCATGATTCTAAAGCTTTTGCCTTATTCTAGAGCATTGTGTACTAGCAAACAGAGTCCCCTCACCCCGAGAAGGAAATTGGCAGGTCATAAAATACAGTTGTAGGATGAATACACCCATGTACTCAGCCCCAGGGCCAAGGAGCACAGCAACATAAGGTGTTCAGCAAAAAGGAGTGAACCTGAGCCACCGGAGGAGCTGACCAGGAAAATCAGCTACTGCTTGGGAAGAGGCTCAAAAACCGTGCAGCTGAGAATACAGCCTATGGACTGACTATTAGATTATGAAGGAGTTATTGCCGGGCGCGATGGCTCACACCTGTAATCCCAGCACTTTGGGAGACCGAGGTGGGCGGATCACAAGGTCAGGAGATCGACCATCCTGGCTAACACGGTGAAACCCCGTCTCTACTAAAAACACAAAAAATTAGCTGGGCGAGGTGGTGGGCGCCTGTAGTCCCAGCTACTTGGGAGGCTGAGGCAGGAGAATGGCGTGAACCCGGGAGGAGGAGCTTGCAGTGAGCGGAGATCGTACCACTGCACTCCAGTCTGGGCAACAGAGTGAGACTCCGTCTCAAAAAAAAAAAAAAAAAAAAAAAGATTATCAAGGAGTTATTGTTAATTTTGTGTTACAAGTATTGTTAGTTTTGTGTGATAATGATACTGTTTTTTTGTTTGTTTGTTTCTTATTATTCTTATCTGGTAGAGGTGCATGCTGAAATGATATAATGGTTGCATTTGCTTTCAAATAACAAAGAAAAAGTTCAGAGGCAGCGAAAGTTATAAAAAAAGATTGGTGAATCCCAGTGGTACTTACGGGTTCTCCTTGTGTATGTCCATAAATTAAAAAAATAAAAAGTTTAAAAATACCTCTAAGGTTTGCTGGTTTTATCACGTAATAGAATCCTCCTGACCAGGGGAGTAAGAATGATGGACACCCCAGAGATTTGCTACTCAAAGCACAGTCCTCAGATGGCAGCAACGCATCACCTGGAATCATTAGAAATGCAGATTTGCAGGCCCCGCCCCAGACCCCGTGACTCAGACGTGGCATTTTAACAAGCTCTCCAGGTGACTGAGACACAGTGAAGTTTGAGAAACACTGATGCAGCTGGTGAGAGCTGTGTGGTGCTTCTCCTTTTTGAGGGGAGAGTTTCAACGGACCTTATCCTGTTTTCCTCCATCATTTGCATATTAGGTATATTGAAAGTGGTTCATTTTATGATTTTTGTCTAGAGCTGGCAAATTATGAGGAGCTACAACTAAGCATGATCCAGGCCAGGTGGGTGGCTCACACCTGTAATCCCAGCACTTTGGGAGGCCGAGGTAAGAGGATTGTTTGAGGCCAGAAGTTTGAGACTAGCCTGTGCAACAACCCTGTTTCAGTTATTTAAAATTTAAAAACATTTATTTAAAGAACAAAAGTTAGCCAGGTGTGGTG